TCACTTACACCTAGTTATTTGTACGTGTCGACACGGAATAGGTGTCATCACTCAGCTAAAGTCATACAAAACATTAAATAAATACAGTAACAGAAAAATAACATAGCTTTAAAATATAAAAATGTTTAATAATAATTTAGTAAAATTAATTGAAATTATTAAAAAAAACATTAAAAATTAGCTAAAATTGCCAGATAACTTTAAATAATTTTAGTAAGATTTAAGCGTATAATTTATTTCAATTTTTAATAATTTTATTTATGATATTTTGAAATTCATTTAAAAAACATATGATTTTATAAAAATTGATGACATAATTTTCAGATAACTTGTATCATATTAAATACTTGTAAATTTACATAAATCCGGATACATACGGATATTACCTACATATTATAATTTTCATGGCTTTTCTTGGAATGATGAATGATAAAATATCTTTTTAAAACGTTTTCACGTGATTATTACCGATTAGATTAAGTAATGGGAAAATGATATATAATTATGAAAATGCAATAAAATTGTTTCTAATATGTTTTCACGAACAACTTGACATAATTCTTAACTTTTTAAAAAAATTAACTATAAATTTTATAATATTTATTCTGCGAACGTTGAACAATTTCTCGGTACAGATCTTCATACAAAGCAAATCGGTAATTAGCCTTTAATTTTTTTTCATTTCTTTCTAATTATTTTATAGTATTTCAAAAATTTCCAATAACTAGACATAATATTAGTATAGGTACATATTCTATATCATATTCAACAATTATACATAAGATTTCCAGTTGTAAAAAAATGGATGTATAAACCTCTGCTATAGTCATGTTTGCATTTCTTTCTTTTTTTTCAAACACTTAGATTTTTGTTTTCTTTACTTTTATGCAAATATTTGTATGCAATGTTATTTCATTTTTGCAATATCACATTTCTGAGAAAACATTTAACATCAACCCTGTTTTCTGCCATTTAGATGGTTCAATGTTGATTCTCATCACATTAATGGAAGCGCTGGCTACCAAATGCAAATTTCCACAAATGCAGACATCAAAGTAAATTATGAAATATCAATAATTTAAAATAATATTCCGTTAAAAGTTGGAAGACTAGTTGCAGGGTTACGAGGCGATTATTTGTTTAGATATTCGAATTTTATTGTGGATTCGATAACAGCGTTACCAGAACATTTCAATTCTATCGAAGAATTGGCCCCTAATACTCCATGATATGAAAATTTGCCCTATGATAATATATTTTTAATATCACAAGCATCAAACAACGAAAATGAACTAGAAAAACAATTATTAAAATATAGTAATTGTGTACTGACTGCTCTGTGTCTAAGATAGAAAATTGATTTACGGCAAACTGTTTTCCTCCCCTGCAAATATTTATTGCCAAAGTTTTAAATCTGATTATTAAATGCAGACTGTTACTTATACTTTACAAAAATAATTATCTGATCTGTAATTGGTAATTTTTTTTTCATTTTTAGTAACTTTTACACCTGGCGTGAAATGAACAAGTAAAACTGCAGTATTCGAATCATTACTTTAACCCTTTCCACTCGGATGCCGCTCCGGCGGCAAAATACATACAAATTTCGGAATTCGCGAGTTGAAAGGGTTAAAAATACAAAAATTCTTCTAAACATTGTCAGAGATTATGAAAAGTAACGTATTTTAATAAACTATGATTTTAATGAATTTTTATTTTCTAATTGGTAACTTAAAAGAAAAATTTGCTGTGATAAACGTATAGACAGTGTGGCATATAGCAAAAAAAATACAAGGATCTTTTCTGTACATGGGACAAACTAGTGGTGCATGGCATCGTGCCTTAAAGCAAATTGCTAGAACTTCTCGTATCAAAAATTATTTTTTTAAAGAAGTTTTAAAATTTGTTGAAAACTTTGAAAAAACTAGTTTTTTGAAAATTTTGAGATTTCTGAAAAAAATTGACTTTTTTGAAAAAATTTGAAATTTTTACATTTTGAACTTTTTTTAAAGCAATCGCGCTGCGTATCTGTTTTAGAAACAAAATATCGAAGCGCATAAGCGCCGCGTCGTAGTTTTACGGATAAAAATTGTTACGGAACCCATAGAAATATAAACAAAATTTGCACACATTATTAAACTTTCTATAAAATATCTAATAATTTGATGTGCATATGTCTAATGATCATTTTTGACACGTTTTTCATTGGATCTCTGAAACCGCTACACCTGCCTCTCCAAAAATTTAATCAGTACTTCATTTCGTCAATACAAATAAAATGTTTTATGAATTATTGCTATCAGACGCTCCGATCTCTCAAAAACTAAATTGCCAATTTTTGGCACTTTTTGTCCCGTATCTTTGAAACAGCTGGGCCTGCCTTAACCAAAAACTAATCAGCATGTCTCCCCATCAATACGAATCGAATGAATTATTCAAATCGGTTGATTCGTTTTTCCGAAATTGTCGACGAAAACTTGTATCCGCGCACACACACAAACATAAGCATTATTAAGTTTAAGTTTGAAAACTTTTATTTCATTACATAGGGTGTAAAACAATATATTGTAATACTGTTTCTTACCCTAGGGCATTATACTTTTTCAAATCTTATGACTACATTTAATAATCTTATGCAATACATTTAACGTTTTTTTTTTTTTATTTTATTTTCATTCTGCAATCTATAAAAATAATTACATTTAGCAGAGAATGCTGACAAGTTGTTTACAATTGATGATCTACAAATTACTAGAATTAATATATATAAAAAAAACTAAAGACAAATATGAAGAAAAAAACTATATTAGATCTCCAGGTATTTTCCTTTTGAGTCTGGTCGGCTGGCCTTAATAATTCAATTAACATGAGATACATGCTACAAAAAACATCCATACGTGCATCAATTTTTTCTAAGGAATGCCAAAATGCTCAGAAACTTTTGAAACGTGAAGATATGCAAAAACATTCATTTTCCATTTTTTGCAATTACTATAACTTACCTAAAGGCAAGTTAATAATCGACAAAATTATTTAACAGTATGCAATATAATAAAAAAATAATAACATGATAAAAAAAATACAATCAATTATCAGCTCTCCTTCTATGCACTTGGCTTACAATAAATGGAGATCCACTTCATGAAACCACAATCGCGCGATTCAGGCTCGCGAATAAACAACGTATGCAAATAAATATATATTATATATACAAATAAATACCCAAATACATATAAATATAAGATATTACATATATATACAAATACAAATACATATATATTTTATATTTCTCCGGTACACGCCACTCGAAGAGATATAAACAAATACAGCAAAAAGGAAGAACTGTAAATCGCTTTAAAGATTTCTCATTTGAAATACGACAAAAGTGTTCCACAGTCTCTGCGGGGAGTTTGAATGAAATCCATCGATCGATGCCGATATTATTTTCCACATATAAATACATAACGATTTGTGTACAAAAAGGCAAAAAGGGTTCGACCTTATAAGGAACAACATCCTGTGTGTCCAGAAACAACGAAATAAAAATACATCGTTATGGTGGATTTAATTAACATCAGTAGTTTTGTTGGAAGTGAGGATTTGAGTGAAAATCTCGACAGTTTGAGGATATATCAAAATTAATAATAAAGTGTTTCAAGATTAACATCAAAGTAATTAATAACTATTAAAATTGAATTATTACAACAGTGGACAAAAATAATTACATACATTTTTAAATCCAACGCTTTTTTTTAACAATTAACAACAGTAGTTTTGTTGCAAGTGAAAGACTCTGGTGATGATCGACAATTTACGGATATATCAAAATTAATCATAATTTATAACCAAAGTGTTTAAAAAATTGCATAAAAATAAATGACTATTACCGAAATTATTTAACACCAGTGGACAAAAAATAATTACATGAATTTTTTAACCAGGACGTTGTTGAACAATTAACAGTAGTTTTCTTGGAAGTGAGGACTCAAAATTAATCATAATTTATAACCAATGTGCTAAAATAGTTCAAGAAATTAAGTTAATACAAAAGGGTACAAAAACCAATTAAATAAATTTTTAAACCAGACCGTTTTTTGAACAATTAGCAACAAAAATAGTGTTTTTGGAAGTGAGCATTTTAGTAAAAATCCACAATTTACAGATATATCAAAATTAATCTTTATTGGAAATCAACTTGGTGAAAAAATAAATTGAAAATTATCGAAATTAATTAAATACAACAGAGGATAAAAATAATAACCATCAAAATTTTTAAACCTGTTAATTTTGTTTATCTAAAAGCTTGTGCATTGTTATTCAATTTATAAAGCAAATAAATATTTAATGATTAGTGTGATATTAAATTTCTTACGTTTTTGTTAAATCCAGTGTTAATTTTATAAAATAATTGAAATAATAATAATTTAAAATATTACTAACAGTTTTAAAAGTGAATTAAATAAATAAATATAAAATATTGAATTGGTTTTAAAAATTTAGTGAAACTGGCTCCAGATTTACATTTTTCTAGTGCCAAAAATCATTTTACAAATTAATTTGATTGATTTTTAATGCATCAGAATATTTAAATAAAGAGCACATCTACTCCAGAATTATTCTTCAAAAGTGCCTAATTTAAATAAAATCATCTTGAATCACTTAAATTAAATTATCAATCACAAAATAAGTTGTTAAGTTGGAATCAATCCTCGTTAATTTTGCAATTTTTGTCATTGTTAAAATAAATATACGTATTATGCAAATTGTTTAAAAAAATTCTAAACTTCAATAGGAAAAGCAGTTAATTTGCTCAAAGTCTTACTAATATAAAAAAATTAATATATGTAAAATTCCTTTACCCAAAAGTGCCTAATTGAAATAAAATCAGTAAATCCTTAAATCTAAATATTTGTGTAAAAAAAATCAATCAATTATCAAGACAATCGAAAAAATTATAGTGATTCACCCAAACGTTGGAAGTTAAATTGGAACCAATCTCCATTAATGATGTGCAAATCGTATTAAAAATTTCGATAATTTCTATAATTTAACAAATTCTACAATGGCCTGCAAAAAATTCGGATTATCCACAATAATTTGGTGTTGGATGATTTTAGTGGCCAGTATGTCTGGCGGTGCGGAATGCCAAAATGTATCTCCCTGCCCCAGGATTTTCCAATATATTTTTGATGGTGCAGATTGGATTGGACTTTTGGAGATACCTAGCCCAATGATTGGAGAAACGGTCACAATACATGTACTTTTGACTATTAGAGCAGTGCTGCCCACGGTATGTACAGAGAAAATATAATTTGTAATAAAAATTTATCAAAATCCAACGACAAAGCAGTTTTTGTATCACCAATTATAATACCAACAATTTGTTTAATGAAGTAAAGTTTATAATTTTGTAAACATTTTTGCTTTTATATTACCACTAACAATGTGAATTAATAAGTACTTATATAATTGATTTATATACATAAATATATTAGTATAAATAATTAATTTTTATTAGCCCTGGTAAAGTTTAATTGATCCACCTTTTCCTTAATCGGTCGATAATGAAATTTTAAATTCTTTTAATATTTAATCTCATAAATTGCTTATTAATGTAATATATTGAAACAATTAAATTCATTTTAACTTGCTTTTAATTAGTAGAAATAAGAGACATAAATTTATTTCATTAAGATTTTAAACGAAAATCGTAGATGTTTCTAATAAATTATCAGATCAAAGATTCCTATCGTACAACACAAATTGTTATTAAAATGTTTAAATATTGAATAAGAGGAACACAATATATTAACTTTTTCAAATTTTTATAGATTTATATATGTACTTAAATTCAATATATTTGATACATTATTGCCAATAAAAATTTTACTTGTTGAACAATTTTTTTTTCATCATAAACCTTGAAAAAAAATGGCACTGTTGTTTCCTCATATCCTCAAAATAAAGCTATGTGATCTTCAAGTTTAGCAATATCTAAACATGAAATATTTGAGATACAAATTATGAAAAAAAAAATACTAACAATTAGTAAATCTTTAATAACGTGACTAGCCATAAAACTTGTAATAGAGGCTTGAAAAATTCTATTTCAAATTCTAATCAAAATATGAAAAAAATAGCATTGAATGAAAATTTTACACCAGCCGTTCCACTAATTTGTGACATAATTTAACCAAACAATACCAACTCATTTACATTAATTACTAAGAAAAAATTGCTTTCGCAAAATTGTACTTCCCAGGAGATTCGGTATATAGAATAAAAAGAATCAAATATTCAAAAAATATTATTGAAAATTTATCATGAAAATATAAAATTCAAGAAAGTGTTATATTTTTGTCCTGTATTTATTGTACTATTTGCCCAATAAATCAACAGTCATTCCACTTTATTGCTGAAAATATTTTTTAACATCCGAATGTAAATAGATTTATAAACAAATTAAAACAATACGTGACATTATTTATTATCATTGTTTTTATCAATCTCAATTATTTATTTTATTCCAATAATTTTAGTTCAATAATTGTTAGTCAAGTACTATTACTATTATATTCTATTAAATTACTTCCAATGGGTTGCAAATCCAAAAAATCATTTTAAGCGATTATATCATTTAAATTTCATAAAAATAATATATACAGTAAAACCCTGTTAAGACGATTTTGCAGGGTCAAAAACGCGTCTAAAGCGAGAAAGTCTAATAGGGGGATAGAGGCAATATGCTTTATAATACAAATTTTAATCTTTTAAAATCAATTAATTTAACAAAAAGCTTACTGTTTATTTGTCAAGAGCTGTAAAAGATTTAAAAAATTTAAAGTAGATTTAAATTTTACACTATCAATTAATTTATAATATGAATGATAAATATGAATCTTTTACATTTAGAGCATTTTGTTGTTAAGAAAAAGGTTTTTTTTTTGTTATTGTCTTTGGATTTGCATCATTTGGCCAGGTGCTATTCGTAAAATTGTTTAAATCTTATTACGTAATTAATTTATAAACTGATCTTTGCATTCTTAATTTTTAAATTTTAAATATTTATAAATTTTTAAATTATTACCAGCTATTAGCATTTGTAAATTGGTTAAGAAAATTACATTTTCTTACTGCCTTCTTTCGTAGAAAAAGATTCTTATTACTAAATTTTTTAAACTTGTTAATTTCGAGTATCAATCATATCAATGGACCACTTTTTATTAAATACATATAAATTCACTTAGGTGTTTAATTCAAAATTAGCTTATATTTTATATATATTTACATTCATATCTTGGGTATCAAAACTTAATTTAGACATAATTTAGAACACTGGGTGAACCACTGGGTTTTTCTTTTAAAATTCTATGTAATTTATCAAATTAATTACTCAATGTCTTTCTATATAGACAGATTGTAATTTATAAGATAATAAAAAATATTTATCTTGGGTTGTGGGATATCACGGTTTTAGAAAATATTGTCAATTTTTAAATGTATCAGACAAATAATTAAAAAAATACAAGATTTATAGTTGAGTCAATTCACGATTGAAATTTCTAAATTACATATTTAATGCAATAAGTCAGTCGATCAATATAGAGTTTCAATCATATTTACCCTCAGCCACAAAACAACTTACAAAAATATAATTCCTAAGATTCTGATAACGTCTGATTGTAATATTCATATTTTCCATAAAATCACTATCAAGTCTAATTTTTCACTTCACTGACACATTTTCACAAAATTTCATATATCACAACACAATAGATTAATTGCACTAACTTTTATTCAAAAAAAATATAATTTATCGATTGATGAAAGTATTCCCAAAGGTTTATTTCACTTTTATCACGACGTATTTCCCGGTTTCGAGGCTGGGCAGAAATAATTTTATGCCAAAATTTCCCCGCATCTTCTGTCGACCGTTCGTTCTAGTTCTGGGTATTACGAGCGAACTCAAAATCATCGACACCTGTTTTTGTAATAAGAAATAATCTTCTACAGGTAGAAAGATAAATTTCGATTATTACACTTTGTTGATCCTTTCCTCTCTATTGAGAAAAAGTGCGATTTGCTTATTTTATTATGGGACATTATTATATGAGTTTTAACACCTAGGTTTTGTGAAAGGGTGAATCATACAGGTAGTTGCATTGCTATTGCCAAGTATAGGGTGTGATCGAATTTAATTCATATTAGAAAGATTTATATTAAATGTTACATTATTAAAAAAACTAGTTGTAAAAAGCATTTTTCCCGATACTTATACGTAATCAACTTAATCAACGAGAATTAAGATACAGATATTTAGGTAAAATGCCTTCAAATATTTATATATATTTTCAAAAATAAAATTTTCGCTTTCACTATAAATTAATCAATGCTATTTCTAAATAAAGTCTTTCAAATATACTTACGATGTCTGTAATTGTATAAATATATAAATTAATTTCATTTATTACCACTCATCATCCATTTCGGGTTCTGGAAATGTATTTTTTTAAAGTGTCAACTGTAATCAGTAGCTATCTACGAACGAACACAGAACGTACATTATTAATGGCTTATGCGCAGGGCTCAATTGCAAACTTTGGTGAATTTTTATTTCTTAAATATTATTTTAGACTATGAAATCTATCGTCGTACTAAGTATCATCAAAATCCTTAAAACAATTTTTTTCAACATTTAATTACGAAGAAACGGCCCGGCTGATCTTTGCCAAAAATTAATCAACGCGATTCCCAACCAATATCTTTCGAACGAGTTTTATGATTTTTAAAATCGATTCAAAATTGTGGGCTACAACGTGGACGAAATTTTTTACACTTTTTTGCTAATTTAGCAAATAGCAGGATTTGACTGCCAAAAATCAATGGTTTTGCGAATTTTTGCATCCAAATCAGTTCAGCTGTTTTTCTAAACATATAAATACCTAACAATGTATATTCATTTTTTCTAAGGTAATCAAAATGATCAATAATATTTTGCGATTTTAATAGCTGATAATGGAGAGTTAAAGCCTAAAAGCTTTAACCCGCCATTAATCACGCGAGGTTTTCAGGGGGAGGGAGGGGTATAGTAAGATATAACGTGTATTTATTTTTTACCCGAATTTAAAAAAAAAACATTTTCAAAAAAAAAAAAATAAAAAAAATTACAATTGTTTCTCGTAACTAAAAATATACGTGATGTTTGGTGGGGGAAAGTGGGGGGGGGGTAATTTTAAATATCACCACATATCACCAAAGGGAAGGGGGAGTTCAAAAATCGATCACGTGGTTAATGGATGCCCCCCAAAGACTAAAACATTAGATTTGAGTTAACTTCCACTTTCCTCCGATAATTTTTCATTTTTCTGATTTAATATTAAGAATTATTTTGGAATTATTTGATATTAAGACAAGTTTTGATATAAAAAAATAGTTTCGTGCAACATATTTAAAAACTTCTTTTACAGTAATTAGAAAGCCAAAATTATATTTCAATACTTATGCTGTTTAAAAATGCTACAATTCATAATATAATATTTGAATTACATAAAAATATAAATAGACTTTAAGCGTTCCCAGATCTTTTTTCTGTTTTCGCTTACAAATTAAAGTATAATTAGTTGTATATCTCATTATTATTTTTATTTAATTAGTTTGCCAACATACATTTTAATCCAAATTCTACAATTTTAAAATGTAACTTTTTGAAATTTTAGAATTTAAAGTCTTTAGAAATGAGCCCAACGGTAGGCCTATTAGAATTTCCTACTACTGATGATATATTTTTAATTTGATGCAGAAATGCCAGGACAAGACTATTTTCACTTGAGATTTTATTTGAGATCTATAACCTCACGTGAAAATCATATAATCTCAAGTGAAAATCATACTGCTTGATATCGAACTGACCAATGTTCAATCAATACACTTAGTCTTCCACATTCCTAATCAATACACCACGAGAGACTTACAAGCTAAAATAAACCATAAAATTTGCATCGACTTCATTAATTAGCTTAATTATTAACTTCCCGTAGGGCAAGTTATAGTAATCGCAAAAAAATCGAAAATGAAAATTTTTATGTATCTTTACGTTTCAAAGGTTTCTGAACATTTTGGCATACCTTAGAAAAAATGGATGTATGTGTGTGTGTGTGTGTGTGTGTATGTGTGTGTGTATGTATGTACGTGTGTGTATGTATGTGCGGATACAAATTTTCGTCGACGATTTCGGGAACACGGATCAACCGATTTGAATAATTCAAAAAACATTCGATTCGTATTGATATGGAGACGTGCTGATTAGTTTTTGGCGAAGGCAGGTCTAGCCGTTCCGAAGATACGGGGCAAAAAGTGCCGAAAACGGTAACTCAGTTTTTAAGAGAACGGAGCGTCCGATTTGAATAATTCAAAAAACATTTCACTTGTATTGACAAGATGAAGAATCGATAAAATTTTCATAAAGGTAGGTCTAGCGGTTTCGGAGATATGGAGGAAAAAGTAAAAAAATGAGCCATTCGGCGGTCAAAAATGATCATTAGACATATGCACATCAAATCATCAGATATTTTATAGAGATTTTAACAATAAGTATACATTTTGTTAACATTCTTATGGGTTCCGTACCAATGCTTATGCGTTGGACAGCGACGCGGCGCTTACGCGCTTTATATTTTGTTCCTATGCAGTTAAAGCAGTACAATTGCTTTGAAAAAAAGTTCAGATCTTCCACAATATGTCAAAATAAAGAAAATTTTTTTTTTTCAAAAAAAAAGAAATTAAAAAAATTTTTTTTTTTGAAAAAAAATTTTTTTCAAAAAAAAGTAATTTTTTGTCCAATTTAGTTTCTCAAAAATCTTATTTTTTCAAAGTAATTTTTTTTTCAAGAATGTTAATCGTTTTTAAAAAAATAATAATTTTTGGTACGGGAAGTTCCAGCAATTTGCCTTGAGGCACGATGCCTTAATTGCCTTAAGACAGAATTCCACTTACAGCTAGTTAAGCCTTAATATATAATATTGATGATCAATGAAAGAAAAACATGAGTCAATTGCGCCGTACTAAAAATAATCCCGCTTGTTTATAAATATTATTTCACCAATCATTCTGACTCGATAATTTAATTATTATGAATTACTGTTAATAATATACAGAAGCGTGCCTCAGTAAGTAAGAATGAATCGATCAACACTATTGTCTTCTTGTACATCTGTATGTAAATTTACTAAGAAACAATACAAGAGAAGACAACCTGTTCGTTTTATTAACTTGAGGTCGTCGTTAGTTCATACATACAAGATATGATATGGGAAATAAAAACCCACGCGGTTCAGCTAAGTTTTTAGAAAAATCCCCAAATGACAACATGCACATGGGAAATAAATTATTATGCATACTCATCATTTGAAAAAGCAGTTGCATATTTCTGCTAGGTGACAAGTTGCAATGAATATTTTTATAAGTAGATATTAGCTTCTGTTGTTAAGACATAATAATTATATATTTTTTAAAACTATTTGTTTTCTAGAGTTATTTAACAAATAATGTCGCATTCTTTTTTATAATCGTTTCATAGCTAAACTAAAAACCTATTATTTTTCAAAAAACACGATTTAATTTTTAACTTCACTTAGGGTGAGTTACAGTAATCGCAGAAAAAATTAAAATGATTATATATATATATATATATATATATATATATATATATATCTTCTATAAATATAAAAATAAGTCGGGTTTTCCTTCCTGATCAAATTTTTCCTTTTCAAATATAAAACAAACAAAAAATTTCTTCATCTTTCTCACGAAACCATCTGGTGGCAAAACGGAGTTCGTCGGGTTTGCTAGTATATATATAAACATTTCAAAGATTTCCGAACGTTTTGGGGTACCTTAGAAAAAATCGATGAATGTGTTGTGTGTGTGTGCGTATGTATGAGCGGATACAAATTTTTGCCCATGATTTGAAAGAGAGAACGGATGCCAATTAACATTCGACTTCTATTGATGAGGAGAGGTGCTGATTAGTTTTTGACAAAGGCAGGTCAGCCGTTTTGGAGATATGGGCAAAAAAGTGCTAAAATGGCAATATTGAAAGAACGGAGTGTCCGATTTGAATGATTCAAAAATTATATCACTTGTTTTGGCTGAATGAAAAATTGGGTAAACTTTTGGTAATGCAGATCCAGCGGTTTCGGAGATACTGTTCAACTATTATACAACAACACAGCACAACACAATTGATATCGCTACTGCTTTGTAATTGATATCAGTCTAACGCTGTCCAAGACAGAAATTGAACTTGAGACCTTGTAGTTCCACTGAGCTACAGGCAATAATTAATATATTAGTAAAAATAAATTCATTCCACATGTATAAGTACTTGGTCAAGAATATCATTTTCTGTTGTTTTTTTTATCCCATGAAAGTTAATATTCACCTGTATTCTTCTTGGACTGATATGATAATGATGAGTGAGTCCAAGTCAATTTCATCTCAGAATCATTTCTAGTAATGACGATTTTTCATTTTTTCTCGATCTTCATAGTTCTGAATGCAATATTTGTGGTTTTTTACATTAGCTGCCGAATTTCTATTCCCATTTCTCTTCAGTGCCATAATTCAAAATTATCTAAATGTTTAGGTCTTCCATGAAGTGTACTATTAATATGTGAAATATCTCCAAATGTACCATCCCAGCCAATTTGTTTGATTTGTAATTAGTTATATATTTAATTATTTATATTGTTCTTATTTTTCTTCTTTCAAAGCAACATTTTTTTAATTGAGATTCAAAAATCAAATTTACTATCAATTTTATTATAATATTGTAAAGAAAATATATAATCATATAATAGCGACTTTTTGTCAGGATTGTGTTCGACAAAGTTCTAAATTCGAAATTCGACGATGATACATTAGGAAATGATTGAAAAAAATATTTTTATATTACTTTAGAGATCTTATTGAAACAATTACCTACTATTATTTTCTTTCAGAATTACTTTGGGAAAATCGAACTAGTCTCGACAAGATCTTTGATATTACAAGACATTCTGGCGCGTAGACCAGTGAGGTACAGGGTGCGATTTCCTCTGCCAGATCCGATACCCAAATTATCGGCTATAATTTTAAATGGTCGAACAATATGCCAAGGAAGACAAGGTAACACAAAATTAAAAATTGTTAAATAAAAATAATGACAATAAGTAATTATTAATATGTATATAATTATTAAAAAAAATACTGTAGTTCTTGTAGTTAGTAGATACCTATCAAACTGTATTAGCTCAAAACTACGTTAGACCACATTATAACTTTACGCGTTCTATTTCTTATATATTATGATTTTTTTTATTTATTTAAAACATATTCATTATAATATTTATTTTAATAAGATAAAAAAATATTTATATGTAATGCATTAAAGGAATAGAATCTTTTTTTCATCTCCCTGTCAATAAGAATCGAATGTTTTTCTAATCATTCATATCTGTTGTCCCGTGCTCTAAATCGTCTGCAAAATTGTATCCGTACATACATACACACATATATACACACACATACATACATTTTTTCTAATCTATAACAAAATGTTCAGCACGTCTTAAAGCATCTCCCTGTCAATAGGATTCGATTTGTTTTCTGAATCATTCAAATTTGTTGATCTGTGCATACGCACATACGCACGCGCGCACACACACACGTACATTCATTTTTTTCATATTATAAGCTATAACAAAATGTTCAGGAAGTCTTGAAATATAAAGATATGCAAAAATTTTCTTTTTCAATTTATTTGCGATTATTTTAACTTACACTACGCGAAGTTAGAAATACTTCAACTTTAACTTACTTTGTTAACTACTTCAACTTTACCTAATTGTTGTAACATTAACATAATATTTTATTTGGGTAGAAACATTCTCATAATTATCCATAACGTTCTGACTAAAATTTAATATAAAAATTAATTTGTTAATTACTAGTTCTCATAAAAAAACTTCAACCATGACTTATTTGATGCCTCAACTTTATTGTCACAGCATAATTCCTTTAAGGTTAAAAAAAATATATGCAATGCGTAAACTCTAATTTAATATAAAAATTTATTTTTTAATTACAAATTCAATATAAAAATTCATTTGTTATTAACAAAATCTCATATTTGTGAAATCTATGCAAGTTATATGAGGAAAAGTACTTTAACCTATTTTATCTTTACGAGGGAAAGTGTTAGTACGTGTGAAATTGTCAGAAATTTCACAAAATTTCATTTCTTTTAATATTCAGCTTGTGTATATATGTTTGTACATTTATATGCATTTGTTAGTATATATATTTTCTCTTAATATATCATAAAATAAAGCAAAATCTTAAAATGAACCTTCAACGTGTCTGCCCAATTGGACAGTTCAAAAACCATTTGATCCAAATGATTTATTTTCTTTACGAACCGAAAAATTATTATCTTTTTTACGTCAGAATATTTCCAGAATTTTCATTTATTTAAATTTACCTAGTGTTTATAAACGTATCTCTTCATCTTTAGAACATTTGCAACATTTTCAGACAACTTACAACATTCTCATACAATACACAATATTTTCAGACAATCAACAGCATTTTCAAGCAATCCACAACATTTTCAGACAACTTACAATATTTTGGGATAATTTACAATATTTTCAGACTATCTACAATTTTATCAGATAATGTACAAACTTATCGGACAATTTATAACAATTTTAGATAATATACAACATTTTCAGGTTATCTAAATTTTCACTTTAAATAAGTTTCAGGTAATCTAGAACATTTTCAGACCATCTATAATATTTTCAGACCATCTACAATATTTTCAAATAATTTACAATTTTATCAGACAATTTACAACTTTATCAAACAATTTACAACATTTTCAAACAATTTATATAATTTTGAACATACATTTTATAGCATGTTCAGATAAGTTACAAGTTTTTTAGGCATTTTATATTGCAAAATATAAGACACGGAAACAATAAGTTTTGACTAATTTTAATTAAATTCTCAAAATGCTGTGACAAACAATAATTGCATAGAAAAGTGAAGAAAATATTTAGAACACAGGCTACTGAAAATTTGGTAAAAAAATGATCCTCGTTAAATAGTACTGTTAAATCTTTCAGGAATATCAGGATCAGACCTAATCTCTGACGTAAATACTTTTAATACTTCCTTCTTTTTAAATCCAAAAGAACTCCGTTTTTTTCGTTCATTAAATAAAATATTGACACAAAACTTTGCAATAAATAAAAGTTATTTTGATGATTTCAATGCAAACAAACAATCTATATAATGAAAATTTAGTCTTTTTTGGACAAAGTAAAAATAAGAATTAAATCTTTTATTTGGAGTAACTAAAAAAACTATGTAAAAAATTATAATATATAATTATTATATGAAGAAGCATTTGTGATCAAACGTAGTTATTGGGCTAATACTTTTTTATTTTATTTGTAGAATAATTTTTTAATAGATTTGATTTCTACTTACTTTATCATATCTATGCATGTCTATTTACTAATTATTTCGAACTTGTTAATTTTACAATAATAAAAATTATTTCTGGTCATTTGCAAACATCGTAAAAATGTCTCTAAACCGGAGATAGTTGTAATTCATGAAATATATTTAACATAAACATGTACCATAAACACTTTACATACATCGAGGTAATAAAATGTAATATATACATTAAGTTTCGTGAAATATGAATGTATACATGTTTTTCGTATAATTTTGCGATTTAAACTTTTTATCAATTCTTGATGTGTCTCTTAAAAGTTGTACATTCAATATGTATTTCATTTAAATTACGCATGATTTTAACCTCTATGATACTAAGTTTGATATTTATATGAAAAAAAAAACTTGTGAATGAATTCAAATCGGTGTTATAAATTATTTTTGATATTATAATTTAATCGTTTGAAAAATGTTATATGTGAAGATTGTCCTTCGAACTTATCATGCGTGGACGAAAGAAATATTAACATTTTTGGCAATTATTGTTACATGTTTAAATTAAAGTGAAGCATAAAAAACATATAGAGATACTAAACATTTGTTCTTAACGTCTTAATTAAAAAAGCTGAACTATTACTGAAAAAAAATTAACAAGAAAGTTACCCGAATCTTATAGGATTCACTCTCAAATATATCAAAAAATTACTTTGTAAAAATTTAATAACTAGTGGTGCATGGCATCGTGCCTAAAGGCAAATTGCTGGAACTTTCCGTACCAAAAACTAAAAATTTTAAAAAATTTTCAATTTTCTTTTAGAACTCTAAAAAAATCGATCTTCGAGGTTTTTAAAATTTTTGGAAAAAAATAACCTTTTTTAAAAATTTAATGATCATTTTTTACCGCCAAATGGCTTTTTTTCACTTTTTTTTTATTGGATCTCTGAAACTGCAGACCTGCCTTCCCAAAAATTCAAATAGTTCTTCTTCACGTCAATACAATTTAAATGTTTTTTGAATTATTTAAATTGAACGTTCCGTTCTCTCAAAAACTGAGTTACCATTTTTGGCACTTTTTGCCCCGTATTTTGTAATCGGTTGGACCTGCCTTTGCCAGAAACTAATCAACATGTCTACTTTTCAATAGAAATCGAATATTTTTTAAATTATTCAAATCGGTTGACCCGTGTTCTCGAAATCGTCGACGAAAATTTGTATCCGCACCCACCCACACACACATCCATTTTTTCTAAGGTATGCTAAAATGTTCAGAAGACCTTAAAACGTAATGATATGCAGAATATTTATTTTCGATTTTTTTGCTATTACTATAACTTACCCTAGAATTGTTCTGGTAAACTCTGATCAAACCATCAAACCATATACTTCTTTTGAAGCTCTGAGGCTTCACCTTTATTTTGTCATTATTTTTAAAATAAAATAATAAAATTGTTCATAATAGACTTAATTCTTGCATAAACTTTCTTATTGCTTGTAAAAATTTTCATAAAAGCTCCACCCAGTTGTGTGAGATTTGGTAAAATTTTGCTGGGTCTCCTGCATTATTTTTGTTTTCTAATAAATAGTGGATAATCCCACTGCTCAAGTTGAGAATTTGTAGAATTTTTTTTTACTTTCTGTCTTAATAATTTTACACATATCAATTTACAACATAAAAAACCATCACCATTTTGGACAAGACAATAATAAGCAAACTGGAGGAGTATGATCTTTGATCATATATTAGACCTAGATATCTGAATAGACCTACAACTTTTCCAAATCCACCTTTCTTCAATTTGCAAACTTTCAGTAATAATAGGTTTCGTTGAAGTCCAGAATCCATCTTATACTACAAATAAAAGTCCTACATATTTTTTATAATATGGTCTACCCACTTGAATGATACATAGCACAATTCTTAAATTGTGCTATCAAAAAATGTTCTAGAATGCATTTATTGATAATAAAAGGTGGTATATACACCGCAGCATGTTAGAGTAGTTCAGTAGAAATGGACCATCTATTTGTATCCAAGTATTTTCAGAACCAGCATGTGTGAGTATTCAGAATCAAACCAGTAGATACCCCATGGGTCATCTTCTAAACTTTCACCACTAATAACACAAATCTTTCTCTTCGTCCTTCTCTTCTCTATAGGTTATCATCCCTTTTTTATATTTCGTCGTCTTATAGACGTTGGAGGTGTTGTGACCACCATAAAGTTGGAACACACATTATACACCAATAACGATTTTGGACCACCACCTTCATCCATGTATGGTATGGAACACGAACAATTTGGACTTCACTTTGGGTCTGACAGCAATGAGCAAAATGGAGACAATGATCTTTGGTCGTATGTTAGACCAAGACCTCCGAATAGACCTGCAATTTCTCCAAATCCTCCTTTCAATCCAACATTTAATCCGCAAACTCCGAGTAATTATGGTAATAATAATGGGTATCCTGGAAATTATCCAAACCAAAACCAGAACCAAAACCAGTGGAATGGAGGTAGTGGAGGATCACAGTTTGGAAGACCTCAAGCTCCGGTGAATAATAGACCAACACAAGGTAAAACACATGTTTTGTAGTATTTTACACTGTTTGAAAGTTATTGTGTTCCAATATATGAAAGACATAATAAAGTTCTTTGAATTATATCGAAAAAATCTTATATTTAAGGAGGTATTCTAGTGTAGAAATTCAAAAAATCGTTTTTTTTATTTCATATTTTCAAATTTTAACTATCTAAGAATATGGGTACGAGAAGGTTTTTGAAAATTCGAATTATTTCCGGAGATACAGGCTTTTTACTGACTCGGTCTCCATACTGGTTTGGCTTCACGCAAAACTTTAAATGCGTTTTTCGTAGAACAGACTTTTTCAGTACTGTTGACACGATTTCTCGAGTTTTAATCGACCGATTCACTCGAAATATTCAGAGAGTCTTGTTTGTAGACCTATCTATAGCCCGAACTAGGATTATCCCCAAATTCCAATTTTTACTATTTTTAAAAAAATCGAGAAACTCAAAAAAAACAGTAAAAAAATACTTTTTTTTTTCAAACAGTTGCCAATTTGTAAAAAAAAATTTTTTTTACTCATCGCTAGTTCGGGCGATTGCGACATCATTGTAGATTAATAATCTTTTTATTTTTGGCACTTCCGATAGTTAGGAGGGCTGAAATCATGTCAAGACTGAGGTGCCAATTTTTTAAGACCACCCACTTCATCAGCTGACAGTTTTTACAATTTTCAACTTTTCTATTTTTTAATTTTTGTTTTGTATTTTAATAATATTAATAAACAAGTGGTAAAAAAATGGATAGTAAAAACATTAATTGCTTTCTTTTACGACACTTTAGAAATGACCTAAAATTCATCGTTCTAAACTAGAATACCCCCTTAACAAACCAAGGTAGAATTGTTTGAACCAGAGATTATTAATTCAGAACTCGGAGGAAAAGAAAGAATATATTCTTGCGACTACTGTTACATAACTTGCTATAGAACTTAGATCTTCAATAAAATACTGTAAAACAAAAGCAATCTAAAATACATTTACTTTCAGAATAGCTTATTAGTGTTTTACTTTTTTTATCTTAATACTATTTCTTATAGGAACGAATCAATTCCAACCAGGAGTAGATTGGGGAAACTTAGCACCGCAGAGTACGAGACCAACCATTGGACAAAATAATGGACCACCATCAACAGCTCGTCCTACAAACCGGCCTCCGGCTTTTAGGCCACCAGTTGCTGGTGTACCACCAAGGATAGATCGACCAAATGTGTAAGTAACGAGATTATATAAAATGTATTTGCAAGTTTTCTATGGTGAATAATTTTTTTTTTCATCTTGCTCATTGCCTATTTTTTGTCTTCAATCCTTCAGTGTCCTTTGAAAATATTTTATTTCTATTTCCAGATTGAACGAAATGAACTTAATATGCGGCCAATCGGCACCAAGACCCATCAACCTAGTAGTTGGTGGCGAGATAACGTCCAAAGGCGACTGGCCTTGGTTGGTAGCACTTTATGTCGTAACAGACACCGGATTGAATTTCAAATGTGGATCTACATTGGTCTCTCGAAGACTTGTTGTGACAGGTTAGTTTTTAGTTTATCATAAATAAAATTAGCATTATTGTCTAGATGTTAAATTTAAATTTTACCATTTATTATTCCGCAGCCGCACACTGCTTATTCGGATTGGACAACAGGCAATTTGAAAATGAAAATATTCTGCTAATAGTTGGGAGATACAATATCAACGAGTGGACAGATGGTGAGTTTTTGATAGATTTATTGATGACATTTATTATTTTGACAACGATCGTTAACATTGGTAATAAAAATATGTTAATTTTTGAATTTGTCTATGCGAGATGTATTCGATGAATAAAACTAAATTTAACTAGTTTCAAATAGGTTGTCGAATTTGACGAATGATAGATTATTATTATGAATGTTTTGTTATAAAATATTCATATTAAATACTTTTTGCTACTTATATATTTATAGAATTCTGGCTATTTATTTGCAAGTTCTTTATTTCTTCAATGGAATATTTAAAATAAAAGGAATTTTTTCTCAAAAGTGAAGAATCAAGTATATTTTCTAAATCAATTCCAAGTGCGTTTTTATGTACCAATTTAGGTTTAAATAATTTTTCAGTAATAATTAAACATTGCAATATGTTGTGAACAATATGAATGTAGGCTATGAGTAGGTATAACACTTATGGTTCTGCTAATCTATCTTTTATGTAACATCTTATTACTGAGATTTTTGGTATACCATATACAACGAGATAATCCGCTTTTTAAAATTTTAATATTATTTGCGCTTGTTTTATGAACATTAATAATGAAGAAATTTTCAAAATGTTGCAATATAAAATTAAAAAAATAATGTATGTTCATCGTTTGCAGATGCAATAAGGGCTCCAATAGATAGAGCCATACCTCATCCAGATTACAGACCGAATACTATAGGAACTGATGCCGATATTGCATTGTTAATGTTAAGAATACGAATAGAATTCACAGATTTTATAAGACCAATTTGCCTCTGGCGCGGATCCAACGATCTACAACGCGTTATTGGAATGAATGGAACGGTAAGATTTGCTTTAATATAATAAAAATTAGACTTAGATCGTACCAGGTGCTGGATTTATAAACTGAGAAAAATATGATCCATCTTTTCTGCAAACTATCTAGAATTAGATTTATACCCACTCTTTCAAATGTAGTCATCTTTATAAATACTTTGCGCAAATTGCTTTTCAAGTTGTTAGTTTCACTGGAAACTTAAGACGTTGTCCGGTGGAAACATAACACCAAGAGCTTAGAGACAGATTTAGGGCTATTTTTATGAACAAAATATTTAACAAAAAACAATTAGTTATAGTTATCAAAGCTTGACTTAACAATTGCTAAGGTTAGGTGCTTTTACAATTCATGCTCTTATTACAGGTTGTAGGATGGGGCAGAGACGAATCAGGCCGGAAAACTACGCCGGAACCGCGGATGGCCAGAGTCCCAGTTGTTTCTAGGGAAACTTGTTTACTTTCTAAAGAAGAATTTAGACATCTCATTACATCGAACAGAACATTCTGTGCCGGTAAGTAGATAAAAATAAAAATAACTTATCAATTATAATAAATATAAAAAATCATCAGTTTCGAATCGGTTTGAAAAGATTTGTAATTTAGCTCTTTATGAAAAAAAATTAGAGAAAAAATAGCGTTCGTATTCACATAAAAATATTCGTTTTATTCAGACTTCAAAATTCTACTAATATGTAGTGAGTAATACTGCCTTAAGGCAGGTTTGTGAGCTGAGTTAGACTCCAACTCGATTCAAGGAAGAATAGTGTGAGAGATTTCCTATTGCAATGTCACACTGCAGTGCTCGAAATCGGTTATTTTCAATTAGAAACACATTTTTAATCTATATTATACATGTGGATATTGACATCGCTGCTGTACGATATCAGATTGCCAAAGCGGGTGCTCGAACACCCCCCATCCACACGAAGCAGGCCAATCAAATTAATTGTTTAGATTGCAAACCAATTTACATTGGTGATTTGACTAAAACTTAAGAGTGAATTAACTAAAACTTAATAAAATGAATTCAGCAACATAAAAACAATTTAAAAAATCCTAAACAATTTAAAACAATGCTCACAGAACCCATTAACACTTTAAAACATAAAGTAAATTTTTTTAACCCGACCAAGTAAATATGCTCAAGATAAGTGAAAGTCGATTTTCTGTCAGTTTGAAATCGTGATCGGTACTTTTAAGCATCGTTTTCTCTTTCAGGAGCAAGGGGCTCCGGTCCCTGCAATGGTGACTCCGGTGGAGGTCTCATGTTGCCCCAAGACGGTCGATGGACATTGAGGGGCATTGTCTCGGTTTCTTTGGTCGACCAAATAACAAAACAATGCGACGTAAACGAATTCATAGTTTTTACAGATGCTACAGAATTCCACGATTGGATAATATCCCATATGATAGAATAATTTTTATAAAATAATTTAATAAGTATTGCAATTATAATAGTATAGAAGTATTTATAAATTCCGTCCTAAAGAAAAAGAAATCTATATCTGTGGCCTTAGAAAAGCAATATATTTGAGGATTTAAATTTTAAATAGAAATGCATTAGTAATTGATGATAATAATTTTACACTATATTGAATTATGGATTATTTAACGTTGATGTCATCATTGAATGCTAAATTTAGAAAAAAAAATTATTAAAAAACTACATATAAACATTTTTTACCTTCATTATCATTACAATAATATTGAAGGATTATGCAATAATAAGCCAACATTTTATGATTTTTATAAAACTTGAAGGTTCAACGAGATTTTTAAGTAAAGATATAAATTGTGCAAATCTTATCAAATTTATTAATCAAATGTTGCGTTAGAAGCTTAAATTTATTAAATTGTAGTATTTCAACAGCTACATTCCTAAGTACTATTTAAAAAATTTTCGTGCCTTTTTAAATCATAATTTTTTCTAGTTAGATATTATTAATGAATACATGTACTTTTTATGTTGGTTGTTATTTTCGACTTAGAACGGCGATTGCTAACATTTATAAATCTATATCGACATTTTTGTTATTTATTATCAGCATTTTTATTCATAATTAATATAGTTGAAAGTTAATAAGTTATATAGAAGAATGATTGTATGAAATTTCAAATTATTTCTAATATTTTTTACATAAATAGTTTGTACGCCGTTGTCTATTAAAAATTAATGTTATTACTTAGAAAATTTTATAATAACTAATTAAATATTATTTCATTGACTAAAAAATTACGACAACTGCAAGAAATTTATATTCAGTTATATAATATATTATTTTAACTTCTATGTATTTATTTTAGTTAGAATTAGTTAGTTAGTCTAGATTTAATTTAATTCATTAGTATTTAAGATTTAAAAAACTCTGTTCCTTCATAAATTCATGTTTATTTTACTTGAAAATATTTTGACAATATTGTTTCTATTTGTATGTTATTTAGATGTTTTATGGTAACCCTTATTATCTGTGATTATTTTTGTAAATAAATGTAATTTTTATAATAGATTTTTTTCTGTAGTAAGATTTTTGGCATTCCAGATCTTTTGACATTATATTTTTTATTTATTTATTTATTTATTTGGCTTCAACCTTATGGTTATCTAGCACATTACAGACATTTATAATATTAATTATAACTATATATATATATATATACACATATATATATATATATATATATATATATCTAAACTTAACTATATACATATCGATACATATATACACATACACACATGCACATATATATTTATATATACACATACACATACCTACATATACACACAGATATCAATTAAGAAACTTAAATTTTTATTTTGCATTTAGTAATAAAGTCCAAAACGATTTTATAAATTTGTATATTGTTTGTAGCGACTAATATGACTGTATTTATTGGAAATGACATTCCCTTTTCACTCAGACATTTGTATAGTTTATTACGATGTTCATTATGAAGATGGCATTGCCAAAATAAGTGATCAATTGTTTCTGCAGCTCCACATATGCATTTGTTATTATCTACGATCCGAAACCGGTATAACTGGTCCTTGCACAATGTATGATTGAATCGCATTCTACAGAAAATTGAAATCAATTTTCTGTCGATGTCTAGCCTTTTATTAAACCATGTATTAAATTTTGGAGATGGATTAATTGTAGCATATAGCCGTCCCTTCCTTTTTGATAAGGTTTTAAACTCCTCTTGCCAAGTTTTAATGGTTTGTGACTTTATCCAATAAAATAGATCAGTACATGGAACTTTATAAGGGTCCACGTCCAGATCCCATGCCTCTTTCGCAAGATTGTCGGCTATGTCGTTACCCAATATGTTGGAGTGACCTTTTACCCATAATAATTTGATTGAAAATTTATCTCTAGTTAGTTGTATTAAAATTTCTGTAGTTTTTAAGATAAGTTTATTTGATTTAATATTTGGCTTGTTGATAGATTTTAATGCTGCTTTGCTGTCCGAAAGAATTATCACTTTATTGATGTTATTTTGCTTGATATACTCTAATGCTAAATAAATTGCTAATACTTCTGCAGTGAAAATCGATGCAATGTCCGGCAACCTCACTTTTCTTTTATAATTAAAATTGGGGATGTAAATAGCACCACCTGTTTTTCCTTGTCCCCTTGACCCATCTGTATAGATTTGTATGTGATCAGGCCATTTTTCATTTATGTAAGTCTCCAATTCCCTGTTTCTGACTCCAATGTTTAAAATATTCGGTTCAATTGGAAACGATGTAAATATTATATCGGGTTTCTCAAACTGCATTATCCACGGAAATTCAAAAAGTGGTATGGTCTTATTTATAGTTATATATTCATCAAACTTTTTGAAAAAATAAAAACTTGATAATAATGGAGGAGTATTTTTCTTGAACCAAAATTTTTTGGTAATATGGTGATTTGATAACAGTTGTAATTGATTTGGAATTTCTTCGCATGCCGAATTAAATTTTTTCGTAAGATATTTATTTGATAACATTTGTATTCTCAGCTGAAAAGTTATTTCACCTGCTTCCGCAAGTAAACTATTTGTAGGAGTTGATTTTAGAGCTCCTAGGCTCAATCTAAGTGCTGAATATTGTAATTTATTTAATTTTTGCATTTCAGAAGAGTTTATTGTGCCGTAAATAAAACATCCATAGTCCATTTGAGATCTTATTAAACTCTTATATATCATCAAGCACGATTCTGGGTGAGCTCCCCAACTGGTATTCGCTAGTTTTCTCAAAATGTTTAAACCTTTTTCACCCTTTTTGCATAATTCTTGAATGTGATTTTTAAAACTCATTTTGTTATCCAAATAAACACCGAGTATTTTTACGCATTTTTTAATGGGAAAGTCTAAACTGCCCAACCTAATTTGGTCTTGCTGGTATGATTTGTTGTGTCTGGTGAATATTGTTATTGAACTTTTACTTGGGGATATACTTAGATTGTTTTTATTGAGCCAATTTTGTAGTTTCTTTATTGCTTCACTAGCCTTCTTTATGCATATCTCAATTGATGGTTTTGCTACATATATAAACAGATCATCCGCATACTGTAAGATTTTGATATCGTTTGATTTTATTATTTTGATCAAATCGGAGGTATAAATGTTAAAGAGTAGTGGGCTAAGTATTGACCCTTGGAGAATACCCGTATTTGTTGTTCTTGGCCCTATAATTCCTTCCTTAGTTTTGATATAAATTCTTTTTTGTGAAATAAGATTCATAACGCAATTAATTATAAGTTTTGGAATCTTAAACTTTCGCATTTTATTTTGTAGAATTTCCTGGTTTACGTTATCGTATGCTTTTTCGATATCTACTGCAATAAATAGGAGGTAGTTATTATTGGAATTTGAGATATGAATATCGTTTGAGATAATGCTTATAACATCCATAGTGCTTTTACCTTTTCTAAATCCAATTTGTAATGGACTTAATAGATTTTGGTTTTCGATAAACCATTCCAGTCTTGTTTTAATTATTTTCTCAAATGATTTTGCCACGCATGACGTTAATGCTATCGGCCTATATGAATTGACGTCAAATGGAGATTTATTGGGCTTACATAATGGTAACAAACAAACATTTCTCCAATCTTCGGGAATCATATTATTTTTAATTATCTCGTTAAACAGATTTACAATGATTTTTTTAAATTCCCTAGGGGATTTAGAAATCATAGAGTAATGGATGTTATCCATTCCTGGCGCAGAATCTTTTTTATTTCTCAAAACATTATCAAGTTCTTCGGTATTTATTGGACAATTTATTGCTTCCTCGTTAATATTTCGATTTCGAAGACTATCATTCTTGTAGTGACGGATGCAACTTCTAACATAATCTGGCGTATAGTTTTTCAAAATATTATATCCAAAATCCTGCGATATTTGATTATAAGAATTTACTTTAGATTTACTGTTTGAGAATATATTGATTTTTTTCCATAGTTGTGTGATAGGCATGGTATTATTCAAGGAGTTAGTAAAGTCTATCCATTTTCTTTTCTTTTTGTTGCGAAGCATTATTTTTATCTCTGCATTAATTTTTTGATAATTAATATAGTTGTTATAGTTGAAATTATTTAACATTTTTTTATATGCTATTTTTCTTTTGGATATGATTTCCATGCACTCTTCATCCCACCATGGAGTAGGTCTAAAAGTCCTAATGTAATTCTGTTTATTTTGTTTTATACTACTTATTGCTGCTTTTTCTATTATGTTTGTAATAGATTTATATTTTACTTGGATGCTTTCTGTGTGATTAAAGGTTGTTGTCATTTTGTCAATATTTTCTTCAAATTTTGTCCAATTTGCTTTCTTAATATTCCATCGTTTATTTATATTAATGTGTATCATTGTTTTTATATACACATTCGCCGTTATAATTATTGGGAGATGGTCTGATCCAATACTCTCATTAACTATATTCCAATCCAACAAACTAATTAAATTGTTGGAACAAAATGATAAGTCTATTGGTGAGCTTCTTTTGTATTTTGATTGAATTGTTGTTGTTCTTCCATCATTCAGTATACAAAAAGAATAATCTTCTATTAACTCATATATTGTAGCACCCCTTTTGTCTATATAATTGCTGCCCCACGCAAAGTGGTGGCTATTGAAATCACCCGAAATCAAAATTCTTGCTCTTTGACATTGTTCTATTAGATTTTTAAAATCCGTCATATCTATACTTGTATTAGGAGAGTAATATACGGACATTATATAAAATGGTGTATGGGTTTTAATCAAAACTGCACAGAGTTGTATATTATCGTTATCATTAGAAAAAATGACTTCTTCGCAAGCAATTTCATTTTTTACTAAAATAGCTACCCCGCCATAACCATCATCTCTGTCATCACGAAATATTTTATACCCAGAGAAGTTATAATTCCTATCTGGTTTTAGCCACGTTTCTTGTAGTGCCGCTATGTGGATTTGGTTTTGGAACATAAAGTGTTGAATACTTTCCC